CTTTGCAGAGTAATGTCGCTGTATTTATTTATTTTACATCGTTCCCCTACTTGACCAATTTCATGTTTTTCATGATTTTTCGTGATAAAATTTTCGAATGTTGTCGTTACAAAGCGGAACAACGCACACTTCAATACTCACGATTCCGCAGCGCAAGGATGGCTCATTTGTTTCTCCAATTTATCATTCTTGCTACTGCATCTGTTTTCGTGCGAACTGTTCTTTGTGAACAATTTCCCCAACCCTGCGCTCTCCTGAAAAAAGGAATCCAAGACTTCCTCCGAGAAGCTGGAATATCAGCCAACAAACTCAAGACCTACGCCGACTTCTTTACTCAAAAGAACATCGATGTGCACGTTTTCAAGGCTCTCACTTTGGCTCAGCTGCAAAACCTCGGTACTTCAAGTTCTTGGAGATCGTTTAAAGATCCAGAAGTACTTTTCCAGTGATCTTTGCAACAACTGTGTCAAAAGCAACGTTTGTAAAAGTGGCGGAGTTTGTCAAGACGGTTTCCGATGCTTCACATGTTCCTGTCCTGACACGTTCTACGGTCCTACATGCAGCAGCAAGTGTCCTTGTAAGAACTCAGGAAAATGCATCGGCAAGGAAGACGGTGGCTTTGAATGTAAGTGTATGGCAGGGTATGCAGGGAGCCTTTGTGAAAAACAGTGGCTCAGTGAAGATGCATTCAAGCAGCTGGAGCAGAAAGTGAAAACACTGACGAAGAAACTTGAGCAAAGCGAAAAGAAGATTACTGAACAAGGAAAAAATTTATCTCGAGTCACGACCAAGTTAAACACGCTAAAAAAAAGGGAATGGCGCCTCGTGAGAGTTGATAAACCACTGGATAAACTCGCCAAGATTGCCCTTCACCAAAAGAAGCCTACCTACATCCAAAGTATGCCGATGGTGTTTCCTAGCAACACTAAAGCCATTATCATCTCTGTGTTCACTAACTTCTGGAACACTAAAGGGCACGCCTACCTCGACTTCAAAACCTACCAACAGGGCAATGAGAAAGACGGTAGCGTGACTGTTGTAAACACACACTTTAATATTTACGCCAACACGTTCTACTACGAGTTGATGCTGCCTTGGAATACTACTTTACCACAAGAATTGGTCTTCAAGATAACAGGCAGCTACTTGACTGGAGGAAGCAATAACTGGTACCAAGTCAAGCTTGTGGGCTTCGTAAAAGCTTGATAAATTTAATTGTCCTGTAAAATGCAATATGTATTGCTATAACTAATTGAAATACAAAATTTAGAGCTCGCAGTGCTTCACTGATTTGATGTGCGGTTAATGTTTTGACTTTCGTTCATGACTTTCTGAATTTTTTTTTTTTTTTTCGTTGGTTGATCGAACTGAGGAGGGTAGGCATGGGCAGGGGGGGGGGGGGGGGGGGGGGGTGTGGAGAGCACGGAGACTGCAGCTGCGCACATTTCATTTCTTCTCTCCGATTATTTTTCGATGTTATGTACTCTCGACCTTTTTTTCTTGCCCTTGGATCCACTCTTGTAACTGTACACCGCGGTCGACGCAATACTAATTGCATAAATGATAATAATTCTATAGATGATCAAAGGCAACTGCTTGCCTGCTTGCACTGTGGGAATAAGGTACAACACTGATGGAGCGCAAGTGATCAGCAAGTTGTTTGGTTTCCAAAATGTGATTCGAATTAAAGTTGTCTAGTTCAAATTCAGGTAAAAATTCACAGCTGAGACAGGAAAGCCACGGTGCGATTGTGGATGTAATAGGCATACTTCCCATGTGCCCTTTCAGTCGCTGTTGTCAATGAAACAGAACGGTATCTGCAGATACTTGCTGATACTGCAAGACTGTTGAAAACATACTGCTTACTGAGGTGCGTAACATGTCGACACGTGACATAAATCTATAATTTTACCATAAATGATAATGACATCAAATGCGATTGGGGGGGGAGGGGTACTCCCATATATTTGCTATACGGGGACGTGCCGCTGGCCAGTGTATGGTTTTTGGCCTTGCTGTCTTAAACAGGGTATACATTTCACCCGAAATTGTCTTAAACAGGCTCTACAATTTCGATAAAAGATCGAGATATTTTTTTGGTGTGTCTTGGACAGGGTAATATTTTCATAAGAAATACCGTTTCACTATACCAG